GGAACGAGCATGTTCCGTAACCTGATCGGTGAGCGCCCACTATCATAATTAATATTCCCGATCACAACCGACAGGACAACGGGCCCGTGGCTCAATGGTAGAGCGTTCAACTCCATGACCAAAGATCCCGGGTTCGAATCTCAAGTGATCCACACTTGGGGTTGGGTATGACTGGCTGATGACGGCTAATAAGCCAGAAATGGCCATTCCGGTCTCCCTTGTCTTTGTCGGTATCATCTCATCTATGTCTACTACTAGTCGCTGTGCGACTGCCTGCGAGGGTTTAAGTATGAGCCCCAAGGCACAACGGAACGAGCATGTTCCGTAACCTGATCGGTGAGCGCCCACTATCATAATTAATATTCCCGATCACAACCGACAGGACAACGGGCCCGTGGCTCAATGGTAGAGCGTTCAACTCCATGACCAAAGATCCCGGGTTCGAATCTCAAGTGATCCACACTTGGGGTTGGGTATGACTGGCTGATGACGGCTAATAAGCCAGAAATGGCCATTCCGGTCTCCCTTGTCTTTGTCGGTATTACCTTTCCAACATATATCACTAGTCGCTGTGCGACTGCCTGCGAGGGTTTAAGTATGAGCCCCAAGGCACAACGGAACGAGCATGTTCCGTAACCTGATCGGTGAGCGCCCACTATCATAATTAATATTCCCGATCACAACCGACAGGACAACGGGCCCGTGGCTCAATGGTAGAGCGTTCAACTCCATGACCAAAGATCCCGGGTTCGAATCTCAAGTGATCCACACTTGGGGTTGGGTATGACTGGCTGATGACGGCTAATAAGCCAGAAATGGCCATTCCGGTCTCCCTTGTCTTTGTCGGTATCATCTCGTATATATATATATATATATATATATATATATGGTAAAGGTATTTTACCGTACTCCCGACCTAGATACTTGCTAAATGCCCGGACACGTGTTTCGCCGATATTCTGCCGCTGCGTGACACAGCTGCGAGGGGTTCGGCTCTTCTGTGGTACCCCCAGCGTTCTCTAGCGGTTTCCGGTATATGAACTCCAGAGAGTAATCGGGTGAATAATTTCAGAAATTTATCAGTGCAGAACTTGGAGTTAAATCTCCGAGACATGACTTTTTAGGGTCAGAACCGAAATTTCCATTAACATTTGAGTCGAAGACAATCAACTACTGTGGAATAACCACGTAATGCCCATTCTACAAACAAGTAGTACTACGAGTAGTATGAATTCCATATGTTAAGGGTATTATACCGTACTCCCGACCTAGATACTTGCTAAAAGCCCAGACACGTGTTTCGCCGATATTCTGCCGCTGCGAGGGGTTCGGCTCTTCAGTGGGACCCCCAGCGTTCTCTAGCGGTTTCCGGTATATGAACTCCAGGGAAGAAGCAATTGAATATTTTCAGAAATCACTCATTACAGGACTTGGAGTTAAGTCTCCGGGACATGACTTTTTAGGGTCAGAACCGTTGGGGGTACCATTGGAGAGCCGAACCCCCCGCAGCTGTGTCATGCAGCGGCAGAATATCGGCGAAACACGTGTCTGTGCTTTTAACAAGTACCTATGTCGGGAGTATCGTATAATACCTTTGCCATATGGATTTCATACTACTCGCAATACTACTTGTTTGTAGAATGCGCAATACGTTGACATTCCACAGTAGTTGATTGTGCTCTACTCGAATGTTCGTTGAAATGTCGGTTCTGACCCTAAAATTCACGTTCCCGAGACTTAACTCCAAGTCCTGCACTGAGTAATTTCTGAAATTATTCACTTGATATACATATATATGAAAAATAGAAGAAGTTCTTCGGAAAAGTCGAGTGGTACACGTGAAGTTTCGAGCTGATGACACCAACCCATATATGCATTATTTTGGAAGTGAGTTCACCGATCGGGTGCGGACATGTACGTCCCGCTGTGCTTTGAAGCTCGATCTAGAGCCTGGACGTTTCGACAGCAGGAGATTACCGACAAAGACTAGGGAAACGGGGATGACCATTTCCGGCCTGTTAGTCCTGGTCAGCCAGCCTTTCCCAAACCCGAACTTGGGCGCACCTGAAATTAGGATCTGCGTTCTGTTGGTTCTTAAATGTTAGTAGGCCCAACGCTCTAGCCATTCGAGCCACACCCCTACTCCTCATTGCGACTATCAGACCAGAGGTTGCGTTCGGGTGGCCTCAGCGGAGACTAGGACGCCAAGTAGCCCATTTTCACAACGGCCAGTTCTAGAACTAACAAGACAAATTATTACACTGTTCTGTCTAAAGAAATAGTCCAATGAACTTTGTTACCTCTGAAGAAAATGGAAACAGGAAACAGGTAAGTCGCACTCGTTGGTTTTCGTATGCAGTAGACAGTCAGACTCATGGAATGATGAATTGAGTTCTAAAATACGATTTAGATTGGACAAGATTGCATTTGTGAGGATAAAGCATGATACTAGGGTACTTGGATACTTGCGCATTAGGACGCTGGCCTGCCACTGGCTATCTACAAAGTCCCTAATTAATAGTATTAATCTTCCAGTAGTTTTCAAAGCCTGTGTTGGTCCAATTCTATTTTCTAGAAATTGGAAATAGGGGAAAAACTATTTTTTCTGATCCGCTTGTAAGAAGCTGCATCACATAACGAGTTTCTTATTTGACGAAGGGACTGTCTTCACCTTTAAGATTGGAATAATTTGACTGACACACTTATTGTTCAAACCCTCTACCACAAGTGCATTGCTTCAATACAATCAGAGTTCTGACCACTCCGGCTACGGGGCTCCTATCGAAAGTCCTGGCTTTTTGACATTTGGGCTAAGTCATTCACGTCCAGCCGGATCCAGCTTATGAAACCCACTAAATCAGGGTCCAAAGTCAGGGGCCCATAGCTTAGGTGGCTAGAGCGTCTGTCTCATCAATGCCACGCCTTCTGCTTTCGAGACAGTTCACCGATTCTAGCGTTATTTTTGGATTCAATCGCCTGTTGCGCTTTCGTTCAGGATTTCTAAGTGGCCGGGTGTGTGCTTTCTAATTGGACGAAATCCGAAATCATTCTGTGCCGTTAAGAGGAGTCCACCTAGCGCTCGTAAAATCTCCGGCCATTTTCAGTGTGTATGCCTCAAAAGCGGCACCAATGGGGATGCCCGTTATTCTACCCGAATAACCATGTCCGCTTCCCAATTGTCGTTAAGTTACAAACTTCGCGGGACAGTTACTTCGGCAAGAGTATGGTGTGTAACCCCCTGGCTCTAACGCCAACCATGATCATGGTTGCAATGGGTGGTCTAGACTCTTAAACCGTAAGCGCTTAAGGAAAACTCGAACGTGACCGCAACCTTAGCCCTAGACTTTAGATCCCTGACCCAAACCCTAAAACCCAAGCCCAACCTACTAACCCCAATTCTAAACGCAAACCCCAGCTCCAGCCACAAATTCAGACTACAACCTGAGCCTGACAACCTCAATCCCAGGAATAACTCAACTCCGAGCACTAAGCCCTAACCCTAACCTTGAACACGGTCAGGGAAACTTTAACGTCAGTAACACTAGTGGAAATCAAAATCTGCGTATCGCTTGACCCTTTTGCTGACCTTTTGTCAGAAAAGCCGTTGTGAGCCGCAGACTAGCATTGCAAACAAAGACTAGAACGTCCGCCTCTGGTTTATCAACCGTCATCAACTGGCCATGACCCAACCCCGATATGTGGAACATCCGGGGCTAAAACGATCTTTGGTTCACCGCTCTGTTATCGATGATCGTTATTAACTGGGTACTAAAAATCGATGAGAAAGTCGATAACATTCAATCATGGACTTTTCGCAAAAAAGGTTTACCGAGGACGGCCGTTAATATTTCCGAAGAATGTTCCCATGTCATGGCAAGTACCATGAGTCGCGATTCCACTCGATGCTCATCAATATCGCAGCCCTGCTTAAACACTACCCTGCATTAGGAAGTGTGTTTAAGGATTTCGGTCAGTACATAAGGAGCTGGACAGCAAGTACACACGAATCAGTGGACGCGATAATCCTGAATATTAAGCATTCTGGGGAGACCGACGGTACACAATGATTACTGGCAGAAGGCTATTACCGACAAAGACAAGGGAAACTGGAACGGGCATTTCGGGTTCATTAGCCGTCGTCAGCCAATCATACTCAACCCCGAAATGTGAAACACCTAGGGTTCGATAACGCGTCCTGTTAGTTAGAAGTTCAACGCCTCTAACCATTGAGCCACGGGTTTGTTGTCCTGTCGGTTGCGATCGGGAATATACAATGGTAGAGGGGCGCTCACCGATCGTTTCTACGGAACTCACTCGTCCTGTTGTGCTTTGGGGCCACACAACACCTACCTAACTAGGAAGTTAATTTTTGAAAATCCATCCAAGGGGGTTACATACTCTAACCTGACATTCACTACATATGTTATATTCCAAAATTGTGCAGAAGTGTGGAAATCGTGATTTTTACCAACTGATCATCAGCAGATTAGAGGAGTCTTATGACTTTCCAGTTTTGGCGAGGGGGCTGATTCCCTAAGTCTGCGTGGACGCCGACAAGAGCCTTAAATGCCACGTAGGACGAACCAGTGGCATGCATTTTCAAAGCATTACGACTTGCCTTGCTTTGTGAATTGCGGTTTCCGAAGGAAACACTTCATGCCTCCCAGCTAACCGATTCACTACTGTTTGCTCAGATTCGAGTAGGTACCTAAATAACAGCAAAGTTCCCACAGAGGCACACCAGTTGCCCCTTTTTTTGCTGGACACCTCATAATCCAGCCTCATGTTTACCCGGCAGTTACTACTTGCACTTTTCTGACATCGAGATGTACTTTCAAAGTCCTCATTCCCGTGATACTGCTTGTTATTTCTTTTCTTCTTTTTCACTGTTTTCGAGGTGGCCTGAGCAGATCGTGATCGCGGCTGCCAGGTGATGCTCCGTCGCCTATAAAGCACTGCCGTTGTGGCAGTCGAAGCAGCCGCTTTAGTTAACCAGTGAAATGGCTATGTCAGTGCAGAAGGATCGCCTCTTTCGACGTCCGGATGTTGACTCCTGCTCGCCGTTCTTACCTCCGCCAAAGGTCTACGGCGGCATTGAGTTGGTGAAGGTGGACCTGCCGGATGAGGAGAGGGATATTGCCTTGGAGAAACTTAATCGCCTGCTGAATAAGTACAGCGTGGAGAAAGATATTGCCCAGAAGTTGAAGAAGCGCATGGAGAAGAGATTCGGAGGCTGCTGGAGCTGTATCGTCGGTTCTTCCTTCGGCTGGTAAGGCTTTCGACTCTGCTTAATGTCATAATCAGACAATTTCATGGAGACTGTGGTAGTGTGACATGCAGGAACAGGAGTGATAAACACGTACTGTCCTGAGATGTCACGTAGGCATCTTTGGAGGTCTCGGGCCACAATAATGCGGTTTTTTGATAGTGCTTTCTGTACAGTGGGTAAATTTACACGTGTCTAAAAGATCGATGTATGGGCTTGAAGTACAGTAGATGAGCTAACTCATGAAATGTCAACCGAAATTCCGAAATTCGTTTGCGTTTCAAAAAAGATTAATTAAGTAGGGTTGTAAAACTTGTCAGCCTGAAACATAATTCTAAAATATTTCAGTTACCTCAGGATGCCGGCTTTCGAACGAAAGTCTTTCCGGCTGCATGCAAAAAACTGCACTCTGCAAAAAATGAATACTGAAGCAGAGTGCATTTTTGCATTGATTTTCGATGCCCTTAAAGATTTAATCATATTTCACAGAAAACACGCATGAAAATATTAATTCTTTTGTTCATTCGATAAAAAATCACGTCTTCTTCCAACTTTATACTCGAAGAAAGGGTATAATTCGGTTTTCAAAAACTTTTCCAGTTACCAGTTAATTTTGAACCCGATCTGCCGTTAGACTTGCATTCTGGGTTTGCAAACTCCAAACCGTATATTTTATGAGTACGGAAAACCATACATTTCTCTGTGGTATTGAGAGGAGGCCATATGGGGTTCATAAAATTTAGCAGTGGATTTGATCCATACTGATAAATTTACAAACCACATTGGTAAAGGCAGAGACGTGACGTTTTATGAACGGCCATTTCACAGTATTAAAAAATCTCACAAACAAAAACTTTTTTAAAACCGAATTATGCCCTTTCTTCGAGTGTAAAATTGGAAGAGGACGTGATTTTCAACGGGATGAACAAAAGAATGAATACTCTTATGCATAGTTTCCATGAAACATGATTGAATCTTTAAAGGCATCGACAATCAGTGAAAAATGCATTCTACTTAAGTAGTCATTTTTACGGACTTTAGTTTTTGGATGTAGCCAAAAAGAAGTTTGTTCAAAAGCCGGCGTCCTGGGGTAACTTAATTATTATAGAATTATGCGTCACGATGATTGGTTTTACAATCCTACTTAATTAATCTTTTCGAAACGAAAAAGCATTTCGGAATTGCTGTGGACATTTCATGAGTTAGTCCACATACTGCAGGTCTATTTGGAGCAAAGTTGAGCGTTTTCAACCCTGCTCTTTCCATGACAGTCTGGATGGGCGTAAGAAGTCTTGGTGAGAACTCCTTTCAGTGAAGTGATCCAACGAGCTATGACTGGCTCTAATGGCAGCAGTTTATTCCGTCCATCTAGGATACGTATGCATGCTCAATCAAATCTGTCAACTTCCAGACAGCCACAGTTCTTAGGTTGTTAAATCAGCAGTCCAGTAGACTTGGACAGGCGTCTGTTTATGCAGCCAGGCTTTGGTGAGCATTGGCTTCCGTTAGTTACTTACATGACGGAAATCGGGCCAGCTTTTACATAACCTGTTTGTTTACGTAATATACCCTTGGAGGTTTGAATACACACGTGGTTTTTCAATGGCAGTCGGTCGTCTGACCTTTTAACAGTAACTGGGTTCAGTCTTGCCTACCAAACGGGCTACGTGGTAGATGCGCTGGACTGACACGGGGCCACATCGGATTCTGGCAGGCCTTATCGGATTTGCGCACCATTACAAATGCTAGCATTTCAGGGTGCGGTGGCGGACCCGACTGCCGGCAGACGTCGCGCACACTGGGACCCCGGCTACCCTCCCCATTGTTTTTGTTAGCCAAAAACCTGGGTCATTTGCTGTGTGGACCAGGGGGGAGGGTGTGGCGTAGGACGCCATTGTGCGGGCTCGACCGTGCTATCCACCTGCGCCCTCCACCACCTCCGGTCTTCTTGACTCTGTCTTGACACCGGGTCCAGGTGGGGAATGGGGGGGGGGAGAAAGAGCGATAGATGCTGCGCAAGTCTACTATCACTTTAAACTAATTGTGACTGTGTCTGCTATACCTTGCCGTGGAGCACACGATGGACATCGTCGAACTTGACGGCCGAAATGTCGGCTCCAGTCGTTTCTGGCTTAGCGGTGCTTCTAGAGTGTTTGTTGTAATTCCCTGTGTCCAGAGGTTTCAAGTACAGCGAAGTCGTCCCGTGTCTGAAGATCGGGACACCCGGATGAACGCCTCGGTGAGTGCACATACCTCTTGGAGCGCCCAGTGAGTGTAGCAGAGGACGCAGTACCCACAGCCCAAACATGATCACTGATCAGAATCGATTTTTTTTCTAGTTATTTTTACTTGCTTCTTTTTCCTGCCTTTTCAGCTTCCTGAGTCATATTGAACACGCGTACTTGCAGGCCCGCGCTGAAAAGAAGGAAATTATTCTGTTCCGTGCAGCATAAAGAGTCATGTGCGTGCGTTCTCGCGCATGCGCTCAATACGTCCTCCTATGATTCTTTCCATGTAAATGCCTGGATAATAAATCTTAAAATGAGCCTCTGGTCTCCTTGAGTCTGGGACGCCTACAAACAATACATATTCAGAATACCGTGACAGCTCCGCGTTCAGGTTGGATATAAGGATACCGGTAGATCACCGGAAGCACTCGTCTGAGCTCGAGAACGCGTATATGCCCACATCGCCAGACGTGGCAAGAGGTAGTTTTAGGATTGTTTATCCAGTCAACAGCCAGTATAGGAAATTTGAAGATGGCTGTGCAGAACTGCGTATGTGGTGTGAGTCCAATGTGTTGGTTGAGTGAGTTCTCGTCAGAGGCTTGAAAAATCCTGAGATTGTCGAATTGGACTGTATGGGCAGCAACTTGGGATTCTTGGGGACCCTATTGCGCGTGTGCAATCGTGACTGTCGTTCGGCGTTGACTGTTTTTTTTCACATGTAGAGTTTACTCACGAAGTACTAAACGCTACGGATTGCACGCTGGGATCTATTCGCTCCTTACTGTTCATGGAACAGGTGCGCAGTGCATGCAGTCGATCTTGAAACGTCCTTTAAGTTACGGTATAGCATGCCAACTCTTTGGTCGACCTTCTTCTGGGATAGTACGTGGACGGACGCGAAGGCACCGTCTCCCAAATGACTTTGGACAGCTATTTCGAAAAGGATCGGTCGCAGAGTTATCGGGTCTCACTCGCTTTGCCCTCCCAGGTAATTGCAGGACTGGCGTTGATCAATAAATCTACATTAAGAGGACGATCGACACTACGGGTGGACTGAATCCGCCGGTAGTGCTGATCCAGTCGTTGTTGTTGGGTAAATAACCTGTCGTTAGGCGTACTAGCTACCCTACCTCTCGAAATGAATCCTGCTGAGAGGGTTCCAAGTGCATACCACGACGACAGAAAAGAAGGTAGGGGCGGGAGACGCTAACTCACAAATCATATTAACGTGCACGCACTGTCAACTGACATTTTGGACGAGAACTTACCGCACTAGACACCTTCACATCCACCTCGGTTCCCACATGACCAGACCGTCCACGACAGGAAACACCACCACCACCACCACCACCACCACCACCACCACCACCACCATCACCGTAAATATGGGTCCACCACCACTACTAATACTGCTGCTGCTACTACTACTACTACTACTACTACTACTACTACTAATACGTGCTTCAATGCTAGGCAGGTCTTTCGGCGAAGCCCAGTTAATCTATTAAATTTCCGCTGATGGCGAAAAATCTCATTACAAATAGATATTCATCAGCGTATTCTTTTAAGTCTCCTTGCAGTGGAACCTAGCTGCGCATAAAATGCAGAGTACGTGCATCAGATGGGAGTATGCAACCGCACAATAAATGTACTTCATCTGTTACTAAAAACCAACGATGAACCAAATCGGACTTTTATAAACAGGCAAGATATTGCATTTCGATCCTTTCCCGCAGCCAAGATCTTGCTTCTGCGTACGACGAGTGTTCGTGAAAAGTACAGCACACAATGGGTCGGAATGTGTGCAGGGTGGAGTGCGTTCG